AGAAGGGAAATAGGTGAAGGGCAAAGGCTGAGCAATAGTGAAGCAAGGGCGAAAGTGGAGGTCAAGCAGTAGCTAGGCAGGGGCAGAGGCCGGAGGGTAGAAGCCGTTGCTCTTCTCTAGCGTCGCCTTTGCCAGTGCACTACCTAACCATCACTCGTCTATTCATTTGCATAGGAAAAATCGATGTTTGGTTGGAAGGAAAACATAGGGCAAGCAGCGTGAGGCACAACAGAGAGAGGAATTTAGCAGCTAGGTTCGCAAGGTTTCAGTCAGTTGGTTGGGCGTGCTATTTGGGGTGACTGGTGGTGGGGAGTAGGGATGTTCAAAACTAATATAAGCTAATTAGACCAACCCAAACAAAACCGATTGAAAACTGACTAAAATAAAAAAAATCAATTTTAATTCAGTTTATAAAGCTATCAAACTGAACAGTTTAATTTTCAGTTGTTATTCTAAAAAAATTGAAGCAAACAAAACTGATTAGTTTTAGTTTTATTTTATTTAATACATATATTATTTTTCTGCCATTTTTCATATAGATCTATTAATTTATGCTTAATTTTAATTTATTTCCTAACGTGTAAATTAATATGAAAACTAAATCTTATGTTTATTTTTACTATCTTTTGTTTTTGTTTTAAAAAAAACATGTACCTTGTTTTTATTTTCAAAGAAAATATGTGCAAAACTAATTGAGTCAACTGAATCAAACCGATTTAAATCATGTCTAATTTAGTTCGATTTTTTTGACACACAGAAAATTAATCATGTCTAAACAAATTTAAAACCGACATATTCGGTTTGGATTGAATAATGTCCAAAATTGAACTGAACTAATGAATATCCCTTGTGTATATGAGTTGAGGTTCGTGCAGCTCAACCCTAATCTTCCCCCTTTTACTACTCAGCCACTCGCTATCCCCACCTTCCTCTCTCACCCTCTCAATAGTTGGTTGAGCTTGTTAGAGCTTTGTTCGCAAGATGAAACTCTATTAAACAAAGCTACAACAAGCTTTGTTTTGTAGAGCTCATTGGAGTTCTATTCACGACAACTCTTCTCCTCCTGTAGCCTTTGCCCTTGTGCATTGCCTACGCTTGCCCTCTCCACCTTCGGCCATCCTCGGTCGAACACTCTTGTGCATGTACTTGGTTACCATTTTTCCTTCGAAAGTGGGTCCGCATGGGGTTGGTCCATTGTAACCGATTTCCTTCGAGGAGTCGGTTCACATGGAACTAATTTTTATGTTAAAATCAATTATTTATAATTGACTTTTTAATTCAAATCGTTATTATATATTTTAGTAAACAAACTTTAAATATATAATTTTAATAATAAAAATATATAATATGTATATAAAATATCTGTTAAAATTTCTCTATTTTTTGTTTTTGTTATTTTTTATTACATTGTAAACTAACTTATTAAAATATTCTCTTAAGTTTTAAAATATTTATAATTAATTTCTGTTAATAACTTGAGCAAACCCATCCCCGAAACCCCCGCCGCCACCGCCACGCAAAGAAAAAGAAAGCCAAAGAGAAAAGAAAGGAAGTCAGTCGACGTCAAAGTCAGTAATACCATCTCATCTAGCCCAGTGTCTGTTAAAGCCATTCGGAATATCGACTTCGTTTATTAGAATATTAAGGTATTATTTGGTAAGACAGAAAAATGAGTTTCTTTGGGTTTTTGGTTTCATAATACATTAAAAAACTATTCTGCCCGACGATTACAGTTCAACGTCTTCTAGAATATATTATAAGTTATCACCCTGTGTACAAATGGAATTAATTTTTTTTTTTTTTTAAACTTCCAGTTCAGCAGGAGGCATTTCATTACCAATAAACTCCTCATGGTAGTCACCATCTTGAAATGATAAAATTTCTTGTTCTCCCATAGCATGATTTCCTTTCCAGTAAGAAAAAAAACGAATTTGATTGCCGCATGACATTCTCCGCTAACTCTCGACTACTTTTCAAATTGTAATTCTAATAGAAATTCCTTCAGTTTTGCTGCAGAATTTCATGGTCAACCTCCCACATCATAGTGAACAGAGCCGTTATCAGGCACATAACTAATGAGTCTTTTCATTATCTCTTGAAGAGAAATGCAGACGCCCTCAACTTGGGTGTATCCACGAGCAAGTCTAGTCTCAGAGAAAAAGAAACGTATCTTCTTATCCACTTCAATTGAGGAGAAACCTGCAGTCTTGTAAAATCCATTCTCACCCACTTTTAATCTGATCTTGTTCACATTTTCCCACATTCCAGCATCACCATAAACGTTAGAGAGCAAAACATACACAGCAGTCTTATCAGGCTCCAGAGGAAGAAGCTTCTTGGCTGCTTCTTCTACTATTTCAACCCTCCTATGAAGTCTACAAGCACTCAACAGGGCACCCCATGCACTAGCTCCTGGCTTCATAGGCATGTCTCTTATGAAGGATAAAGCTTCGTCTATCTTCCCTGCCCTACCCAACAAATCAACCATGCAAGCAATATGTTCTTCCACTGCAGTAATTCCATAATCCATACTCATTAGTTTCAAATAATTCCACCCTTCCTCCACCCTTCCAGAATGACTACAAGCTGATAGAACTGAAACAAATGTTATCGAATTGGGTATTTGGTTTTCAGATCTCATTTGGTTAAAAACTTCAATAGCTTCATCAAAAAGACCATTTATTCCAAAACCACTGATCATTGCACTCCAAGTAAAGGTGTTTTTGGTTGGCATCTTCCTGAAAACTGTATAAGCTTCTGAAATCAAACCACACTTAGCATACATGTCAATGAGAGAGGTATAGCTCACTACATCCATTTCAACTTCTTTTCTTATCATATACCCATGAAGACTCTTTCCTCGTTGTAGAGAACCAATGTGCGTACATGCAAGAAGTACGCTAGACAATGTGATTGGATTTGGAGATATTGATTGTTCCAGCATCTGTCTGAACAATGCAGCAGCTTCCCAAGCTCTGCCATTTTTTGCAAAGCCAGCAATCGTTGCAGTCCATAGAACAACATCCTTAATTTTCGCCCCTTCAAATAATCTTAGCCCAAAATCAAGTAAACCACATTTCAAATACATCTCTATCAAGGATGTTTGTAAATAAATGTTGGAATCAATAAAGTTCTGCCTTGTACAGAATCCATGAACGGATTTCCCTTCTCTATCAGCAGAAATATTTCCGCAAGCCCGAATCGCACATTCAGATGTAAATGCATCCAATTCAAGACCAAAGGTTCTCATCTCAAAAAGCAGCTCAAAAACTTTGATTGGTTCCGAGAACTTCAGATAGACTCTCATCATGGTACCCCAGAGAACTGCATTACGTTCCGGAATTTCATCGAACAGTTTCTGGGCTGCTTTCAGAGAACCCATCTCCGAATGCACATCAATAAGCGCAGGACCACATATGAGTCTCCCTCCAGACCCGATTTGATTGCCAAAGAATGGACCAAATTGCCCTCTTGCAAAAGCCTCAATTTTACACAAGCTTTGATTGCAAATACCAAGTTGAAAGTATCAACGGAGCGCAATTCAGTTCGCATCTGTTTGAAGAGCCGTATCGCCTCCCAGAAGTGTTTGTTCTTGAAGAATCCCGAGATGATACTGTTCCAGGAATTGAGATTCTTCGCAGCAATGAGATGGAAGGTTTGGGTGGCGCATTGGAGATAACCCAATTCAATGTAGACATTAGAAAGCTTTGAACCGAAAAGAATCGACTGGTAGAGACCATTGACTATGATTTGGGCGTGAAGTTGCTGGGTGAGTGGCAGAGTTTCGGTAAAATGGAAGAGGGAGAGCAACGTTTTGGCAGAGCTTTGTAGTAACTTGCCGGAAATGATCCCTCCAATCGGATGCATCAATCAAAAGTTTCTCGAACTTTCATCGGTCTGACGCACGAGAAAAGCGGGATAACCGCCACCAGCCAGCCGAGCCGAACGTTTTGTTCATATTTATCACTCTATGCAAAGGGTCTATTTAGATTTGTTTTTGGAAATTGTTTTATATTTTTTCGTTTGTCCATCTGATTTGTTTCATTTGTTTTTGGAAATTGTGTTCATATTTTCTTCAAAAAATAAAATTCGTTTGTCAGATTGAAAACTCAAAACTGTTTTTATTGTTGTGAAAAACACTCAAAACTGTTTTAAGAAGAACCTTTCCTTAAAAAAAAAATCTCCATTTTAGAAAACACCAAGAATTTATTTTTAGAATTTTCATAAACTATTTTTTGACTGATATAAAATGATGGATTCTTTTTTCTCAAAGTTTTTAAAAAGCACAACATTGATTAATGAAGAAGATAAGCTTTTGAAGGATTTTTTTTAAGTTAAAACAATTAGCTTTAAAATCAATTTATTTAGATCTCAGGTGTCAAAAATTCAAAAAATTCTACCACGAAAAAGTTGACAGATAAACAACCCTAAGTAGTAAATAACAAAGTCACTGTTCATGTTTAAAAAAGTAAATTCCAATACGAATTCAAAGTTGAATATGTAATTTCAAAAATATATCAACATACAACAATAAAGAAGCTAGAGAAAGTCCAGATTAAGGACGTCACGCGTCCTCCCCTAAGAACAAGTTCCTTTTTTACCAAAGCAAAACAAATGGATTGCCACAGCCCTTACTGCAAGAATAGGCGACCCACCAAGCAAAGGGCATTGAAACATATGAATCAAACGTCGTAGCTGCGGGTTTTATTTGATCCCAGAAGCCATCTCTGTCCAGCAATAGTTAATTCTATTTAAATAGTCATCTCAGTCAAATGAAAGCCGTGAGAATTGAGCCAATGCTTAATACATTCTTAAAATTCATTAAAAATCACAAATTCCGTTGATAATGCTCATCTCTCTCCCCTGCGCTTAGTCCTCCAATGTTTAAGAAAAAGAAAAAAGAAAAGAGTTTAGCCTATGCTATTGTCTGACAAATTCCATCTGACAAACTGGTAAACAAAAGTTCCTATACCGCACGTTTTTAAATAGAATTCCCCTCATGTATGGCACTAATTAGCGAGGAGTTTGCCCAAAAATTGTATTATACACCTTCAGAACAGGCCTGTTACCACATAGATGAACTCCAACGGTGGAGCAATTTCTTTCAGACCGGCAGATAAAAGAGAACCGGAATAATGCCAGGAAGCTGAATTATGATGAAACTTCCTCAACTTGAGGTGTCTGCGTGAAGAGGTACTGCAGAAAACATATTATGTTAAACCATTTGATCCGAGAATGTAGATAGAAAGGAAGGGGAGGAGGAAGATTGTATGCAACACGTTCTACTGATTTTGAATCACCTCGAAAGATTTGCCAGATCTCTCAAATTCCAGCATGCTGAGGGCAACTTCGCAGCTCTGAGAAACAATAGGTTCGGGGTCATTTACAAATTCCTTGAGAAGTGCTACGCATTGGTCATCTGTAAGCATAACAGTACACTGGTTAGACATACGACCTACAACTAAATATGGACCATTTTCTTTTGCAGGAAAGAAATCTAAGAGCTAAGAGATAAAGGTATTTATACCATCAAATAAAATAGCAGCTTAAAGATACAGCTATCAGATTGACAGTTTCTCGACATGTTATAATGAAAACTAGGGCATGGATACAACACTGGAGCATCACCAATTCTTAAAACTCACACATAGAATGAAAGATTACAGAATATTACCAGAAATTCTGAAATAATTTAGAATAATTCCTATAATACATTTGTAGAATTAAGAACTTGCAGAACACCATTCAGCCTCTAGCTTCCTTATATATCGTCCAGAACTTCAATATGCAAAAACATCCAAATTTTCATGTTTTAAATTAATAATAAATGGCATCATAGAGGTGAGATCTCCAATGTCTATACATTCACAAATTGGTTTCACAGTAGATCCAATAACACTGACAACCATGGAACCATGATAATTGTAAATTTCAGTAGAAAATAGTTTCCTTCATCCTGTTAAATATCCTCTAAATGTACTTATTCAAAATAAAGTTCTCAAACACTGTTCAACTCATATGAACCTCTTTGAACTACAAGTAGTTGCCACATGATTATAACTTAGTACCAAAACTTCCTATTTTCCTTTTTGTATCCCCAAGAAACAAAAACTTAAAAGGAAAAAAAATTAAAGAAGAAAAATATGTTTCTAAGGAAAGTAACTGGACCCAATCCAAGAAACAAACAAAAGGCAATTAAACCTGCAATAGAACCAAGAGCTTCAGCAGCTTCATGCCTAACCATCGGGTGTTCATTTATATCCTTGAGTGTCTTGGAAAGTGCATCTGAAGCAGCTTTGTTTTGCAATTGGCCTAACACATAAGCAACCTGCAAGAAAAGCAATATTTAATAATGTACTTTTCCAATCTTTCTATTGTCATTCAATTCATGAAATGCATAACCATAGTTGCTTTAATCTTCTCCTATGCAAATAACGTATGGTTACATCTCTAGCTCAACAAATACAAGCAATAATATCTATGCATGATAAAGTGTTCTAATAGCTTACATTGGAAAGATGAACTACCGAATTTCCCACCCAGATAGCAAGGTTCCCATGCATGCCTTTTTTTGTATCAAATGACAATGTAATAACCACTTGTGCAGCAGAATCAGTTTAAGCAATGATTCAGCAGAAACAAAATAGTAAAATAATGTTTTTAACAAACCTCATGTCGCATGAGAGCACTCTTTGCACCCAAAGAATCAATTATAGCAGCAATAGCTTTTTCTCCTCCATGGTTTCTAAGAGCAAAAAGAGATGCATAACGCTCATACATGCTTTTCTCTTCATCCAAAAGAACTTCCCTGCAAACCAGTCAAAACCAATCAACCAATCAGCAAATTATAATTCATAAATCTTGTTAGTGATCACCAATTCTATGAAACAAACCTTAATTTATCAACAGAAGAGCAGGAAGCAGGTGCAGCAGGGTCAACAGACAAAAAGGGGGATGGTTCTGCCGGTCCATCAGCATGCTGGTGATTCTTCAGTTCTTCTATTCTACTAAGAGCCAATTCACATGTTTCTTGGACCTCCGGAGCTGGATCTGTAACCAAGCTCTTCCTTAAAAGATCAATAGTGGCCTCTGAACCAATCGCACCAAGAGCTTCAGCAGCCTGGTCAATCACAAAGCAGACAAAAAATACACAAGAATTATATTTTGGAAGCAACACCAGAGTATACTAACAAACAAACAATGCAATGCTAACAGCAAGTTACCTCGTGGCGAACAATGGGATGCAAAGAAAGATCATTAAGAACTTTTTGTAAAGCAGGGATTGCATCACTATCTTGCATTTGACCCAATGCAAATGCAGCTTCATGAGCCAGCAGGTTTGAGGGATCTCTTGTTGCTGCAAGTGATGGAAAACCATTAGTAACTTGTTATTCCACAATTTCACCAACCCACTTATTTGGAGTAGTTTAATATGCTTCAGTCACAAATTGAATATGGACCATGGAGCATATTACATCTAAACCAAAAGTCAACCAATGAGAGAAACAGTCATTCGAATTGCGATAAAAGGAACAGTTGAGACACAGAAATTCATCTAGGGAAAAATTAGCGCTCTTTAGAAGATACAAGCAAGCAAATAAAGAGCTAGCTGTTAAGAACTGAAGTAGCTTTAAATCAGTACGATGATTGTAATGTAGTCACTGAACAGATTATGTGCTAGACGTTTTCAGCTTTCAACTGGAAGATAAACACACAAAACAGATTAACCTTGGACTTTCCACTCCAACCTGGGAATGCAAATGCACTAGTGTTCGTTACAACTGTGTAGACAAAGATAGAGAGAAAGAGCTTACCGGCGATGAGTGCGTTGCGAGGACGAAGGCCACGAAGGTTGCGAAGAGAGAAAAGGGCTCTAAAGCGCTCCGAGATAGGCTGGTTTTGGTCCAACAGTCGATCGCAGAGAAACTCCTCCGTCTCGGGTGATGCCGTGAATGAATTCTCTCGGGAACCCATTTACCGGATCTTAGAATAATCCAATTGAATGCCAAATTTCTTCTGGTTATAGAAATCTAAAATCTTTTTTTTCAAATTGGTTTCAGGACCAAAGAACCAAACCCTACTTTTCGCACACAGGTTTGAAGATGGTCTACCAGAAACAGCTTACAACCGAAGCTAATAAACTGCAAAAAGTCAAATGTCAAGTGGAAAAGTTGTGCTTAGGTTGTTCAATCAGCCGAGTTAGAACGGTTAAATCGTATAAATAAAATTAAATCAAATTATATAGTATGATTAAATTTAATATTTAATATTTAAATAAATTATATAAATTAAATTAAATTATACAATTTATATATAATTAAAAATTTTATTTTTATATATATTATATTTTTATTATTTAGTTATATATTTTTTTATTATTTTTTATATTTATATTTATTTTAATAATTAATTATTTACCTTTTTAAAAAATAATTTTTATTAATAATAGTAAAATTTTATAAAATAGTATAAATATTTTAATCATAAAATATATAATTATTATAATTAATTAATAAATAATAAATTTATTAAGTTAAATATGTTGAAAAAAATAGATAATTTATTTTTAAAATTTTTTTTATAAAAATAATAAATTTAATTTAATTTAATTTATTTAATAAATTCTAAAATATAATTTAAAATTAAATTAAATTATAATTTATAATTTAATTTATAAAAATTATAAATTATCAAATATAATTTAATTTAAATTTAAACAAACGATCAAATCGAATTACTTCCTACGCTAATTTTAAGCTAATAAGAAAACAAAAAGGAATTGGACCCGAAAATGGGCTTTGGCCCAATATGTTTGTCCATTAATGGGTTTGGGCTCGGGCCGACTATTAAGGACGAAATCTCCTTTAATTTTATTTTCGGCAACCAATAAGTGGTCTTCGTCTGTTCTCAGTTGCCTTCTTTGCTGCAAATAGTTCGCTTCCAAAGCTTACCTGCAATCGGAATGTCTCTCTCCCTTCCTTCCGATTTTCCTTTTCATTGATTAATATATCTCTCCTCCGATTTAGCTAATGCATTAGATTTCTTTAAACACTGAAAATTTCGTCTTTTTTCATATATGATGAGTCCTAAGATCGTGAAACTACATTGAAGCGAAATTTCTCTCTTGAATTTGGAGATTTATCTGTTTACAACTTGTTAATCTTTTTGTAGGCTTTAATTCCACGTTTAAGGATCATCTGCATGGGGACGGGTAAAACTGAGATACTTGAGGAGGTTCCTCGCAGCTGCACCTCATCAACGAAATCAATCCAAGCTTACGCACATATGTCTACATGACTTTGGAGTCAAATTGTTTGTTCGGGAATGGCTCATTTGAATTCTTGGCCTTACTACTGTTCTTATTTTGAATTCTTCTACTTTCCAACCATTTTCAGGAATAATTTTTGGACCTGTGATTTGGTGCTTCTGTTCATCGACACGGACTCGATGCTGCAGTAGTTTTTCATTTTTTGATATCGCAGAAATAAAATGTTTTTGATTTTATTCTTACGAGTTTGTAGATATGATGGCATTTTTGCAGTTTTTTCCTATCTCACGAGAGCTCTTAGAAGAACTAGCTGAAGAGAGAACCTCGGATGGACTGCTCAGGTCTGTGCATTTTTCCTTTGAGTTTTGTTCTTTTATTTTCCTATTTTTAATCTTTTTTGAAGAGCCGTATAGTGTCATGCCTCTGAGATTGTCATGTAATATATTGTTGGTTTCTGCCATTCTCTGCCAACATTACTAGATAGTTCAAATGTTACAAATTCATTAAGATCTGGAATTACCGTCCGCATAATCCTTCTGGAGAGACCTGCTGTTTCATTCTCCTGGTAAGTTAAGTTTTCGTTGGCGTTGTTATTCGAAAGGGATTTTTTCAAAATGGAAGTTTAATTATGAATTATGCAAGATTTTTCAGAAACTTTAAGGCACTGTGATGGAGGTGATAGTGGTAAAGGTTGTCCCATGGAAAGGCCTTCACGATGACCTTCTGAATTGCCTTGCACCTGAACTGTTTAGGGAAACAATTCGTGAACAGGTTTGGGCACATTTATGACATTTATGATGTCTGCTACCATCTAAGAAAGGATAGTCCACGAGTTTCTTTTGTCCGTTTGTTACTGTTTCTACGTGGGAATGGCTACACTGAGTTGTTCTCCTGGCCTGGCCATTTATGGCATCAGCAGCGCAATTACTATGAAGGGGGGAAAATAAATTAACCCCATCCAAAAACCTAAATATGTAGCATAAATTTATTAAAGTTTTCAATAGATCAAGGCATTCTCTCTGGTAGCCAAAATGATATGGTTTGTTAAGGTCTTACTCTGCACACGACATCCTCGCAGCGCAGATGAGTGCCGGCTCGTAGTCGAGTTCAACTGAGTTGTTGGGTGGTTAAGAGGAAAATGATAGTCATTTTTTTATTACCGATTGTCTCAACCTATGCAATACAGAAATTGCATATTATATCTGCAAGGGCCTCAGAAACAGCCTGATCAGTCTACCCAACCAAATTTCCCACAAATTTCTCTCTCAAAGTTCATGCAGTTTTGATTTGTAATTGTATCCATATATGATCTAGGCTTTAGGAACATATTATTCTCAGTTCTGTAACCTATTTACATGGTCTAGTAGACAATGTTAATAAGTTCTTGGCTTCTAAGTTTTGTGTAACAATGTAAAAACCTTTGTTCCAAGATTGCTTCTATGGAGTTTCAAAAGCTGAGGTGAATGAAATCATTCAGAGAAGATCAAAATAATTGCTCCCCAGTTGGGACCCCTCTGGTGCATGTATCATCAACTTTGTTGCTCTTCAATTTTGCTCAATACTTCAGCAATTTAATTATGCAAGTTATGGAGTTCATGCTAGAATTTACTCTTATCTCCATTGGCATTCGGATGTAACATTTAAATGAAGATCTGCAATTCCAAAATTCTTTCCTTTCTCTAAATCTGAATCAAATTTCATGTGATCTTATATGGGTCCTTATTTGAAACAATTTCTTTTTTTCTTTTGAAACTCTTGAAACAATTTTTTTTTTCTTTTGAAACTCTTCAGTCAACTTTGCAAGAAACTCAGCAGCATTTTCCCCGTGATTTTTGTCGGAGAGAACCCTTCTCAAGTCTCAGTGCGTGTAAATTAAAGAAGAAAATGATCCGAGACAAAATGTTGTCAAGTGAAGACGAAATTCAGAAATCATCACAGCAATGTATAGGGCGATTAAACTTGCACATTATCGAAATAATGCAAAGAATGCAAAACAATGTGACCTTGTCCTCCCACCACCTTAACCAATCAAACATTTTGAGGGTATTCCTGTTTTTATTTTTCTTCTTAATATGTTGTTTTGAGGACAGAGTCCTTTTCACAGTCCAAGAGCATCGTCCGAACATGGTGACGAAATAAAAGTTGACATTTCCTTCTTCCCGAATGACGAATGGGTCTCATTGATATAAACTCAGATTTAACCTTCTAAAACAACTTGTTTATTAGTCCAACCAAAAATACTAACTAGTACAACGTGCACCATTGCTTGGGCTAATTAAGAAGGGAATAGGTTTAAAATTGTCCATCAAAACACATGCAGTACCATGTTTGGAGCTACTCGTGATTCATGCAAGATCATGATGAATGATTAAAATTTCTTTTCTTCCTTGCATTAGGGGCAATCAAAATGATCACTGTAACAAGTTGTGCTGCTAAAATACGAATCAAACTGTTGTTTCATATAAGCTATGTCGGCTACAATTATGAGATCTTACCAATTGCTGTCCTTGAAGAGCACATGTGCCTTAATTAGCCGACTTTGCTTTTAAACTGATCAGCTATAGGGGCATAAAAGATAAGCTTAACTTTGAATTGCAAAAATGCAACCCCGGCGACAGAATCATAGAGAAACAGAAGACATGAAAGAATTACTATAATACGTAATTAACCTACGTTATCCACTTAAAAGGTGGAGTAAGTTGGAGTAGTTAACATAAGACAATTAACCTTGGAGGTCATATAGAGTGTGCATGTCAAAGCTGATTATGAACAAACCTTTGCTCAAAAACTTGCCTGCACAATTATATCCCATTTAGGGTAAGATTAATTCCAGCATATTAGTTTTTCTCAATAACTTTTCCATCTCTTACCAAAACAAATAGTATCCACTTCATCTTACTTCATTCTGCTACTTTTGACAGTTTAAATGAGGGAAATACATGGACTCAAAAGTCCTTTAAACAAGTAACGAAGGGAAAAAATTGCTTCTGTCTTGATTATCACATCAACCCAGTGTTTTAGAACAAACTACTACTTGACGTCTAATCATTAAAAGTACTTATAATTTATAGCTGTATACAGATCTACCTTGCACAAAGGAAGCCCTTTCTCATCGACTTTTTTCAAACTTCAGATTTCAAGAGTTTAATCAGTTGAGCCAATCTTGTTCAAGAGTTATACTCGGTTTTCTTAACCTTGTGCCATGCCATGCATTCATTAATTAATCTGTCCGAAAATGAAGACTAGCTCCCTAATTTTTTCTTTATATAAAATGAAAGCAAAGCCTCAGAAAGGAGCTGAGTTTTTCCATGGTTTCCCAAGTTGGGTGTCATCAAAACCATTATCCCTCAAGAACTTAGCTCCTCTGATATATGTCATATAGTATGTACACTCTAGCTCTTGGATCATACTTCAAGATTTTCTACCAAAGCAATGGGATCAAGTTCTAGGATTGCATATCTGTCAATCTAATCTATAAACAAATTCACAAGAACAAGAATGATCCAAACTCAACTAAAATAATTATAAGAAAAAAAACTAAATTTAAAATTAATCAATAAAAATTTAAGAGTGTTGATATAATTGATTTCAGAAAATCTTAACAAAAATTCAATTACAAACACAATTTTTACTCAAACTCTTTGATTTTTGAGACTTGAATATTGCAAATTCTTATATTCACTCAAATTGAATTTTGTCAATACTCTTCCTAAGTGCAATTAGAATAGTTGAAAGATTTGTTGATTT